ACATCTCTTTTATACAAAGATACAAACTTTTGTGTCCTTATTTGCTAAACAAATGACAGAAGTTTGTATCTTCAGCTTGAAAGCAAAGAAGAGTGCAAATGTACCTGAGGAGGTCTGAGCACGGAACTGATCCTAGTTTATGAGGAACAGCATGAAAACTCATACAGCACAGGGAAAAATTAGTTCCAAAAATGCAACTAGAGAGAAGCTGTGTAAGTCACTGGCAACATAAGTATCATATTGTAACCAGGAAAGAGAAGAGATAACTAAACTCCCCTCAAAGAAGAACCTTGTTTCAGGAGTTCCTTTGATACCTTCCAGCTTGGGACAGTGAAAGCACAGAAAAGCAGCACCAAGGGAGCTTGGGAATGTTCCCACTGAATCCCTGCAGCCCCACTGGAAACCTCCCATCATTGAAACAACACTCTTTCCTAGCTTGCCCAATTATTAATTTTGGTGGGTTTTTTTTCAGCTGCCGGAGCACTTCATAGGGACACAACATGGAAGGCTGCCAGCCTTCCCAGAGCCAGCTCCGAGTAGAACACTCTTGGCTCAGCAGCAGACCACAGAGTGCAGCAGAAGGAAGCACAGGGCCTTGAACTCACACCCATCTTGCTCTTGCCCTCCACACACACCCCCTACATGCAGGTCTGCTCTGAGCCCTGAGCAGTAATTCACTGGCACTCAACACCATGTCCGCTGGAGACCAGCAGGCCCTACCCATGGGCACACCAAGAACTGCTCAGGTTAAAACTAGGCAAATCTAGAAGTTAAGATGCCAAACTTGACCATTAATATATATTTTTTGCTTGCTTCAGGAGTTATGGGAACTTATAGAGTAACTATAATAGAGATTTGCTATTTGGAGCTGACAAGACAAGACCAATGCAAAGATCAGACACGGTGGAGCAGAGAAGTGGTGATACGAGCCACCCTGTTGCCATGCCTGTCCTCAGCAGGAATACTGCAGGAGCACAGGGCATCCCAGCCTTCTCCTTTGCTCCACAGGCAGTTTGATCTCCATTGGCTTTAGTATCGGGGTGAGGATACTATTACAATACTGATAAATTCCTGGGGATAGGGTCCCCCAAGAAACAACTACGAAGCAGCATGAACTTAGTGTTCACTTCACTTTCTTGCAAATGACCCCTGGTCTTCAGTCAGTTAATAGCTTTAGTCTAGAACAACATCCTGACACGTACCACCAGGCCATCCATCACCTGTGGCTTTTGATTTGTGCAGAGTAGAGGCCATGTATGCAACTGGCAGCCCTAAAGGATGATACACTACCCTTTGTTTATGAGGAGAATACAAATAAACCACAGATATATGAGCAATACTGTTTTATATTTATCAGTATTTAAAATATTCTACAGAAATCCTCCATGTCACAATACTCATTCTGAAAGCCATCCCTAAGGAATTGTAGGGAAAGTGAATGTACCATTTGACACATTAGGGACACACTTTCTTCCCTATTACCAAGAAAACCAGCTTCTTGAAAATTCTTAAAGAATCAAGGATTTAGCATTGCACAACCAGGCACAAAATACTACAAGACTGCAAGAAGTATTTAGTCACTATCATAACAACAAATCCATAGGGGCAGATTGAGTGAAGTCACAGACCAAACCCATGTTTCTTTCAAAGGCTGGAAAAAAATGTGGAAAAGAAAAAGGAAGGGACGTGTCAATCCTTCCACACCTCATCCTTTGACAGTAACTACTCCATGCCATCTGGCTATTAAGGACTGTCAGCACTTGAAGAATATCCATGATGCTTTCCTGACTGCTTCTACAGAAAGGAAAAAGAAAAAAATAAGTCCTAGAAATTCAGCTGACATACTACAAAGTGATCATCCTGCTGCCTCCTTTTTCTTTGGGGGAAAAAATACTTCAGCTGTACTTACTGTATTTCTTAGCAAAATTGCATTTTGAAAACAGTGAATATTGCTGAATCGGTGTGAGGATTATGACATTGAACTTTAAAAACCCAGGTGACGGAGCAAAGCCCTCACTCCGCACACGCCTCTTACTGCCCAACGCGTTGGAGCAGAGCTCACTTGAAGATAAAGCAACAGAAGCCAGCATCTCACTTATCTATTTGACATTTCTTAAGAAGGCCGGCCTGACAGAGAGAGCCTGAATTCAGCCCCGCGGGCTTCGGCAGGCCGACGTGAATCTCTTATCTGATAGGCAGAGCAGCGACTGGCCCATCTCACACCCAGTTGCCAGTGACTCCGTATGACTTCACTGCCCTGTGAGCGCAGCACAGAGCTCGCAGGGCAGAGTCGATCTGCCAAGGAAGGTGCACAGGCACATGGCAGATACGACCACAACTCCTCCCACGGGCCGGGGCTGGCATCCCGCCGGGGCTGCCTTGGGAGACAGAGCTCCCAGCGAAATCCATTTAACACATTCCTGCACAGCTTCTGCCGATACCGTCCCTATGGTCAGGCCAAGCTAAAAACAAACACCCCTGCCCGGCCAGCTGTCTTGGCTGGAAGAGGAGCATGCATTTTTACAGAAACAAAGATAACTGAGCTCACTATCTTCTACAGAAGTTTTTCTGGTGTGATTTTGTTCCATTACATCTGCCTGGATAGCTAACAAAAGCAGAGCTACTGGAGCAGGAATGTACTCAGGTATCTTCATACAACATGTTACATTTTGAAATGCTTGGTTTGTTTTTCTGGACCTTCCCATATGTATTAAACCAAAGCATTTTGAAGCTACTATCTGTAGCACAGGAACTGACACATTCTCTGCTGCTTTTATATATTTGTCCATTTAAAAAGGGACTTTTAAATTGTGTATTAAGATTTACTAAAGCACTATTGTATTAAACAAGCACAACAAGTGGCACTTACTACAATTCAGATTATTTCTTATAGATTCCATCCTCAAAATATTAATGAGCATAGTCAGTAAATGCAAGATTTACTTGTGAGTATCACTATTCTTTGTATCTTTTATCATTAAAAAAGAAAGCTAAAAATACATGTACACCTCCCTGCTGCATACTTCGGTCCACATTCAAGCAGAAACTCCCAGACAACCAACATAAACAACTGTGATGAATGTTTCAATCTCCAATGGGCAGTGGGATGAACACCATAAAAAGAAATTAAGACTTACTATTTTTCCACCTCTCATCAAAACACAAGAGTCTAAACCAACTCCCGTTTGGTCAGTTGTGACTTTGTAAACTCTGTATCTACCAAACCACACACTGCCAGGAATAGAATAAATCTCAGCAAGGATTACAAAATCATTCTTGGGTTTTGGTTGGGGTTTTCTCTTTTAAGATCCCCAACAAATATCCCCGCAAAGAGAAGCAGTTCAATCTGCTTTTAGGCTTCAAAACTAGCACAGGTCTATTTTTTCTGCTGGGTATACACTGAATGTTTGAACAGAAAAATTAGTCATAGGTCAGACAATATAGCTCGCTATCACTACACCCTTCATTTGAAGGAAAACCAAAGAAATTGTTTTTATATTTCAACCATCTGAAACGACGGTAAAAGAAAGTAAATTCTCCTGGGTTTCTTAAAAAAAAAAAATCAAAATAATTAAAAAAAAAAGTTTAAAATCGCAGCTTCTCATCTGACATGTAACCAAATGTTTTTGGCCGCTGGAAAATCCTGCCATTGGTCAGGCTCGGCAACAGGCACATCCCATACACCTGGTGATGCGCGCTCAGCCCCGCATCCCGGCCCGGGGGGTGGGGGAGGGGGGACAAAGCCGGGAGCGGGGATCTGTCAGGCCGCGTCCCGGCGCCAGCCCCGGGCCGGGAGCTCAGGCGAGCGCGATGCCAGGTTAACAATTTGCCTCCCTCCTGGACGCCGCGGCAGCCCTCCATTTTGTCAGCCGCCTCAATTTAAACGTTTTCCAAGGCGAAGGCAGAACTTCAGCTTTTCTTCGGGAGCCCTCCGGGGCTTTAAAGCATCCCCGACCATTTTGCGCAGCCCGCCCGGAGCCAGCGCTCGGGGCTAAGTTTAGCAGGGCAGCCGCGCACGCCGCGCCTCACGGGCAGCGCCGAGCCCCCCGCGGGCAGCCCGCGGGCTCCTTCCCATCGCTTCTCCCGGCGGCGCCTCCTCCCGCCCCGCGCTCCGGCGGCGCCCGGCTTCCTCCCCGCACGGGGACAGGCAGGTGGATGTCGGGAGGAGGGCAAGGAAGGGACGGGAGGCAGGAGCCGCCGCGGGCAGCAGGGTGCCGGCAGCAGGTAGGGAGGGCAGCGCGGGGCGGCCGCCGGTGCCGTGCGGTGCCTGTGCCGTTCCCCCTCCCTCCGGCCCCCGTTCTTACCACCTGCGGAGGCGGCCGGAGCCCGCCCGGGCCGGGGCAGCGACCTGTCCACTGCGGGCGCTCTCCTCCGGAGGTGAGGGGGCGGCGGGGAAGGGCATGAGGGCCCCTCGCCCCCCTCCCGGCTTGGCTTCCGCGGTGCGGCCCCGGGTCGGGGTCCCCTGCGCTGCTCCGGCACTTACTGTGTCGCCCCTGTCAGTCTGGCTGCCTGTCCCCTCGGCAAGGATAAAAGCAATTGCCCACTAGCCTCGCCGCTGCCGCCCGAAACAACTTTGTCTTCTTCCAGTCGCAGGGAAAGCTCCTCTTTTTCCTTCTTCTTCAATAAGGGGGGGGACCCAAACCAAAAAAAAATGCCTTCCCAAAAACAACAACCAAGCCCCAGCAAATTTAAAAATTAGAAAAGAAAAAATATATTCGGCTTTTTTTTTTTTTTTTTTAAGAGTGGGAAGCGTGAAGGTGGGAGGGGAGAGAAGCAGAAAAAGGAAACATTTGAAGCTTTGTAGCTCTCTTTTCCCTCTCCTTCCCCCCTCCCAAGATGGCTTGAAAAAATTAAAAGGGGACAGTGATGAGGGGGACACACACACCGAAAAGCTCGGAAGGAGGGAAAAAGTTTGGGGGGTTGGGGTTTTGTGTGTGTGTGTGTTTGGTCTTTTTGTTTGTTTGGGGGTTTTTGTTTTGTTCTTTTTTAAAGCCTTAGAATCCCAGAATGACAGAAGCGACTACAAACACCCGGGAAGAGCAGGCACAAGGAGAGGAACGAGCGATAGAAAAGAGTTTTGCTGGTCAGTAAACTTCAAGCTGCTGGGATGAGGTCATTGGTGTAAATATAAAGCGATGGCGTCATTTGAAACCAATCCCAGTGAATGAACTCAGCCGGGGGGGTGAAGGTGGGGGGAGAGGGTGAAGGAGAAAGAGGAGGAGCAGCGAGAGAGGATGCCTGCGGGGCCGCGGCGGCCGTGCAGCCCCGGCGGCGGGAGGCGATGGCGGAGGGGAGGGGGGTCTCTCACTGTCCCCAGGGGAAACGCGGGCCCCGCTGCCCGCGGCCTCCAGCGACAGCCGCCGGGCCGCCCCTGGGAGGAGCCGCGGCCGCGGAGCGATTCAACCGAGCCGCCGCCACGGCCCTTCCCCGCCCCTCGCCCGGCCTTCGCTCCGCTCCGGACTCTCCGCAGGCCCCCCCGGCCCGCGGCCCCTTCCCCGCGCGGCCCGGGGCCCGCCGGGCGTGTGGCGCCTGGCGACGCCTCGGGCCCGCGGCCTGCTCCGCTCGGCCTGCTCCGCTCGGCCACCTCTCCTCTCCTCCCGTCCTGTCCTCTCTGCCCTGCGCCAGCTGAGGGGGCATCCCTAAATACGCCCTGGCCTTTGCTTTCACAGTGTGCCGCTGTGCGGTGCGATGCACAACCACCTGGGTGTGAAGGCGTCACATCCTCTGTGGTAGTGCTATGGGATCATACAGCCACAGAGTGTTTCAGGGAAGGGAAAGGAACTTAAAAGTCATCCAGTTCCAACCCCTGTCACTGAGGTGGGCAGAGCACCCTGTGGGTCATGTGGAACACTGGGGGCCTTTGCCCTTTAAAATAACCTTCTTAAATAAGTTTTAAAATCTGAAATCACACTGTAAAATCTGTGCAGATCCACAGAAGTAGATGTTATTTTTACCTGACATGTATCTGTTGTGGCTAGTACCAATCCGAACTGGCAAGGTACATCCTTCAGGGGCTCTGTGGGTCCTGTCTGTCATGCATCCCTCTTCCAGACATGATAGAATATTCTGCAGTCCTCTTTTTCCCTTAGAGGCATCATTACTATGGGAAACCTGCTGCCACTGCTGGGCATGCAGGACAGCTTGCACACTAAAATTCAAACTCCAGTCATTCACCTCTCATAGCTTTGAATCCCTGTGCCAGAAACCCTTGGAAGACATGAGAAAGAGGATTATTTGCATGGTCCTTACATTCTTGGTGGCTGTCTCCTCCATAGTGCCATCAGAAAAGCACATGGCTGTCACTCACAGTAAAATGGTTTGGGTGTTTGGTGTTTCACGAAAAAGGTAACTCAGTAAATTGTATGGGCAGAGAGGGAGCTCTATCCTGCCAATATTGACCAAGAACCACCTTGATGAAGGCCCTCGTGCGAAGGAGTTGTGAGCTGTGTCATGAGAACGCCTTGTTGGCACTTGTACTGAACAGTCATGTCCTGTGTGAGGGAGTGCAGAGCAGGCAGGGAAGAGAGAAGCCCAAGCTCCACGACAGACAAAAGATCAAAAGCAGTGAAGAAATTATGATAAAGCAGTTAACATTGGGATGTTCACTGTTTTGCACGTGTCCCTTTCCTGTAGCTGAAAAGCAGTTTTGCCCTTCTGTCTCAATAAAGCAGTGGCCCCAAAGATGCCTTTCTCAAACCCCCAAAGTGCTCACAGCATTAGAAATCTGCACAATTAACTGCTGGTTAACGGAGTTAGAAGTGACCCATTTTGATGAAGGGGATCAGAGAGCGTGCCAGAGAAACTGGAGGTGATGGCCAGTGCCCCAGCTCTTTCATTCCAGAAAATTGCAGGAACAAACAGTTCCAGCATGTTTATGCTCACAAAGAGAAGTGGGGAGCAGTGGAGAGAGGTGCATGGTGAGGAGGATAGACATATCAATTCTCTCTTCCCTTTTCTCATCTCAACTTAGTAATACCTTATGTAACAGGTTTGGGTTTTGTTTAAATTGTGAGACTGAAAATTTCCTGACTGTAAAACTGTAACAATAAGAAGTATTTGTGATCTTTTGAAAATATTTTTCTTTTTAGCTAAAAAAAGATATATGCAGAAAAGTCTGTACTAGAACAGCAAATTAAAGCCTTTTCAGTATAAAGTCAGGATATTTCTTTTCCTAGTGTAATAAAAGATGTGACAAAACCAGTGGTATAACAATTAATTCCTGCACATTGAAATTATTACTAAGAATAACTTTTTCTTTTCAGCCAAGCTTGAGCCAAAAGTCTGATTTGGGAGAACGTTGCAGGGTGAAACTGGACAGGTTCATTGCTAACCTCAAGACACAAACAGAAGGAGTCGGGAACACTCAAACACAGCAGCATCAGACCTTGCTTCATTGAGAGTAGGAGCTGCATCCTTTGCCTTCTCTTTGCAGTGGCCAAAGCGTGAGCGTGTTGGCAGCTGACATCCCTCAGCTGGCCGTGGCCACATGTGCAGGAGCAGAAACTCCTTTGCATGTCAGAGTCTTAACATCATTTAACTCTTTTTTTCCCCTTCTGAGAAACTCTTTTTTCCCCCCTCCTGCTTTTTATTCCTCCCTACCACTTGCGCAGCAAGCTCCTGGAAATGATCTGAACTGCAGGTGCAAACCAGGAGAGGGTCAGGCCTTGATCTGGCAAACACCTGAACCATCTGGGAGAGAGAGTGCCTGGCTTTGCTGATGTCCCTGGCTGCTGACTTCCCCTCCCCAAGATTTTAAAGTCTGTCAATTCTATGAAATGTATTTTGCTGCACTTCTGGTGATGAACTTTTTGGCCTAAGTTCACTGTTTTTGAGAAAATGGTACTGAAAGAGTTAAAGTTAGCGTTCCTTTCTTGTGCCTCCTTACGAAGCTTATGAGATAAGAAGATCCGAAGTGTCTATATGGGGTGAAACAAGGGTAAAAGACATTGTGGTGGCCATCCAACCGGCTATGCCACAGCCCTTGAACTTTGACACTCCCCCTGTCCTGCCTGTTCAAGCCTCACTTCTGGCAGGAGTGGCTGCAAGTGTGTCACCCCTGACTGCCCCTCTTCCTGGGGGCCAGGGAGGGGCTATAGCTGGGTACTTTCAAGAGCGGGAGGTCATGCACCTTTTTTACAAAGGTTTCTCTTTCTTTATTACAAAAAGCTAGTGCAGCTTTTTGTTCCTTTTCCAGCTAATGGACTTTGTGGCACTTCATTTGGTTAATCAGTTAGCAGTGATTAAACAGGGGAAAGATAAATGACAGCCTGAGTAACGTCATCATGGTTCCTGCTGGTGGAAAGGAGTGGTTTGCCAGGGAAACCTCTTGTGAAATAAGTGAGAATTGAACTATAAGCACAGAATTTACCATGCTTGGTAAAATCCCCTTGTGGGTGCTCACTTCCTCCATAGGCTGAAGTGTTGTTGTTGAAGAAGTTACCATTCCCACACAGCTCCCAGTCACCGTCATGGCTGTCTTCTGCCAAAGGCTACCACCTCCCCTCCCTACATGCAAGCTGCTCACTCAATCCCTCCCAAATTAGCTTTGGCCAAAGTCAACCATAGCAGCTTAAGCAGTTTAAATAGTAGAAGTCTGCTGCACTGGTTTGTTTTGGCTGAAGCGGATTAGGGGAAACCCAAGTCACCAGATGGGAAGTGAGGTGATGACTTTTTCATGGACAGTTTCAGGGGCAGTGGGAGGTTGGGCCTAATCTGCTTTCAGAGCAGACTTCTGTACCACACATAGCTACTACTGACTGTTCTTCAGGGTATTTAAAAGTAGAAGTGTTGCTGAGATACTCACGTTGAAACATTTGTAGCATTTTTAGATACCACTTCCTTTGTTGGTATGGAGAGCAGGGTGCAGCAGTCAGAGCAGCACAGGTTTGTGGGACAGCAGCAATGGGAACGTGAGGACTTGGAAACCAGTAGCTATAGAAGATGTAGGACCGAGGGTGAGGAAAGAGCAGAAGAGAGAAGTTTGTGGATATAGATCAGTGGGAGATCTCAGAGCTCAGTCCAGAGAGGAGGGATTTGAGCAGCATGGGAAATGCAGGCATCAGAGACATGGGGTGGTGAGTAGCAATGCTCAGGGGCAAACAGTGATTCTTCCCTTCCATGTGTGTATCAGACCTTGGAAGCTCCATCCCTGTGGAAGATGGTTGAATGAGAATAGCCTCACTAGTCTGTCACTGCAGGTAGTTTTCATAGCTCTACTTCCCTGTAGCTTTCCAGGACTGCCAGATTCACAGCCCATCCAACAAGCTGGGGGTGGAATGCAAGTGGAGGGGTCTAGGTTCGATGCAGATATGGGGTTTGAGCTGGAATACAAGACAAGATGAAGCAATATTCTTATTCTCTGAAAGAAAACATTGGGTGATTTGAAGCAATGAAAGAGAAAAGAAGAATTACAGGAAGTGGAGTAGCAGAAAGTACAGAGAAAAAAGGAAGGAGAGCATCAGCTGTTTCCTTCCCTGTAACTTCATAAACCCTGTATCCATTACTCAATAGAAATGTACATTATTCCTATCTCTACCCTTTATTTTTCTAAGCCTTTTGTGAGACAGAGTAGCATCATGAAACCAAGTTTTATGGATGTAAGATTGAGATGAAATAACGCATCTAAGGTAGTATACCAGATGGTTACAGATCAGAGAAATTAACCAAGTTCTCTTAAATTCCAAATCTAACTATCCTTTTCCTTCTCCTCTCTTGCATTTCAGAAAAGAAATTGTAACTTTTGCTTTGCTTACCTGCACAGGCAGTTATTAAAATTAAGCACTTGCACAAAAGCTTGTTGGTTAGCTTGCAATTAAGGGACACACACACACAAAGGCTATAGATGAGATATATAACATAAGACAATGTGAAAAGACGAAGAAGTAACAACAATTTCTGGTTCAAGGGATGGCCTTTATCAAGCTTAGGGCGTTTTGCTAAAATTCTAGTCATCTTAGAAAAAGAAGTTACTACTTTGATGGTAAAGCCACTTCTCTATGAAACAGCAAGATGGAGTTTTGAGGAGGCATTTGAAATGGGAGATAATAATAAATATTATTTACCGAAAAGGAGCATAATAACATGTTGTCATCAGGAAACAGAATAATGAAATACTGTTCTCAAGAAACATCAAGTTCAGACAAATCTACAGCAACTGAAAAACTTAACTAGTAACATTTCTCACTTTCTAATATATCCAAAGAGAGAATATATAAATTTAAAAAAACCAAAAAAGCTGATACATTTTTTAAAAAAATCACAAACACATTCCAGAAATTAAGATAGTTGTCACAATAAACACCCACCTCACTTTTTGCTCTTACTCACTGTTAGTCACTTGTCTGTAGGCTGGTACACTTTTATTGAAATGAACTGCTAATGGGCTGTAAGCACAGATGGTGTAAATCATCATTGCTCAACTCACACTTCAGTTGCTATGCTAATTTATACTATCTGGAGAATGGCTTTCTGTGTTCATGTTTTGTTTGTGGCCAATGATGAATCAGAAGTAAAATGTATTTGCGTTTATTATGAGGGCAGGATAAAATGAGGTCTGTGACAATTCATAGCCTCTTTTTAACTGCTTAAGTACTTCAAATCATGTGGGATATAGTAATTACCAGCCTTAAATAATTTTTAGATTTCCTGTTTTTCTAATAATAAATATTTTCTTAGGAATACCAAGGATATGATAAAAAAGTACAGCATTCATAAAATGCTTTAAAGTTGTGATATGTGAAATGTCATCTGACTCAATATAAACCATTAAGTACAAAGTTACTGTCTTGACAGCATGCTAAAGTGAGCTCACAATCAAGAAAATAGTTTAAAAATCTCAGTGTAGAAAGAGAAAATATAACCTGTGGTAATGAAGACCAGTTTATTTATTTTAAAATACTTTCTTTTCAAAATATGCACACAGGAAAGGAAATGTTCAGACAGTGTTAGAATCTTTAGCATTTCTCATAATTCATTTTGTTTTTTCTTCCAACTTTTAACATCTCCTGACACTTACAGGTATCCTAAACATTGTGGATTTGATAGACTGCTGTTTATTTAATTCTAAAGTGCAGTTTGGGTGTTGCAGTAATATGCCAGTGAAACTCTATTGTTATTCAAATGGATTGTGAAAGACATTTCGATCCCATGTACTTAATCGATAAAAAAAACCTAATATGAAAAAGGGAAAGACAGACAAACCCATGCTGGACATGAAAAATAAACTTGAGTTCTAAAAGGGGAAAGAAAACTAAGTTAATTACTATTTGTTTTTGCTGTGGGAAAGAAGGGCATGAGCACCACAGTGACCTGCATTTATAAGCTCTCATTCATATAAACTTTTAAGTGGATAACACCCAGAACATCAATATTTTGGCCTAACAGTAATAACATTCTTAGGATAAAAGACTCTTAACTCTGAACAGAGTCTTATTTTGTTGAATGCACTGGTCAGAAAATTGTAAGTCTGAGATTAGCTCAATCTGTTCTCAAAGAACAACAGAGAGCAGAGTTTGTCTAGAAAGACAGGTGAAAATATCAGGTTACAGAGAAAAGAAGCATGTGAAAATTTCAGAGCGTGTCGATCTTTGAAATTCAAAGGCTTTTTTTTTTTTTTTTTTTTTTTTTTTTTTTTGGATGCAAGGTGGAGGTGAGGTGAAGGACTGCTGGTTTATTTTTATATTGCCTCCTTGACTACCTTTCCATGGTCAGGAACAAGCTGGCTTCTGTGTGTTAGGTATGGGTAGAAGTGTTTTAGATGCACAGAGGGCTTGAAAATCTTGCAAGAGCATATCTGCTTCAAAGCAGTTTGCCATTTCTTCTTCTTGTAGCCAGGGAAGAATCATCATTCTATTAAAAACATTTAAAACCCTGGTTTGTATTCAGCCTGCAAAAAGAAGGGGAGGAGATCAATGAAGAGGAAGCACAGGGCTGCAAATATAATGTTTTATTTTCTTTGTGAAGGTCTGCCTCAGACTTCTCATGACTTATTTGAAGCTGCTTGTGCTTACCTCAGATATAAATTTGGCTTGTTGACTCTCCAGTCACTAAAAATTGTTTCAATCCATTGATGAAATGATGATGAGTTCCAGATAAAGTTAAGCTGAAGAATGTTCTTCGTCATGACCATTTAAAATCTGAATGGGATATTACGAAATCAAATGGGCAGAAGGTTTTTTAAGAGGGGGAATTTCAAGTAGAGGATGTGACTTTCCAAGACATTTTTTCTCAGCAGCTGTGAAAGCTCAGAAGAACTTCCTAGACAGGAACATATGAGGACACAGTCTTTTGTGAGCCAGTCAGTGGAGACATTTGTGGGAAAATGGTGGATGCAGTTTGAGTTGCAGAATATAAAAGGAAAAAGAAGTCCCTGTTAGAAGAGTCTGCCTATTACTAAGTTGCAGAAATTATATGTTTATTCATCTGTTATTTTGTAGTAGGACCTACAATTAAATGATGTCAGCCACAGTTTAAGAAAAATGGCTATTATAACTGATGATTCATTTGAAATACCTTCTTACCATCTAATGCCAGCAGGATAGCAGGCTGCAGTTGTACTAATGCTGAAAGCTGAAAAAAGAACATGGTCCCCCTTTGGTTAACAGCATGTGAGCAAAGGCTTCAGCCATAGGAGAGGAGATGGCAAAATAGGAACAAGGCTGCCCAGCAAGTGGTAGGGAAAGAGTGAGCCAACATCTGTCAGTGGCATGGGTGTACAGATCTTGGGAAGGTGCAGGCAGGTGCCTTGGCTGAGCCCATCTATCAGGTGATGTTCTACCTCACAGTTTCCTGCCCTCAGCTTCGTACTGTGTGGTCCTGACCCTTCCCTTGCTGTGGATCTGGCACTGTTATAATGCAACATCAGCCAGTCCTTCTTGCCAATCCAGCAGAAGTAGAGTGAGTTCCTCTTTCTGTCAGTCATTCAGTAGACATCTGTTGTCTGACAATAGAGAAAAGCTCTTTAGAATGAGAGTGGTCAAACACTGCAACAGGTGCCTAGAGAGGCTTTCCCCTCCTTGGAGATAGTGCTGGAACCGACAGGGTCCTGAGCCACCTGATCTAACTTTGGAGCTGGACTGAAAGTTAGGTTGGCTCTGCTGGGAGCAGGGAGTTAGACCAGCTGGACTCCAGAGGTCCCTTCCAACCTGATTTGTTATAGGGGGCAGTCATGGTTCCTGTATCTTTTATTATTCTACATTGAGAAATCTCAGCGCATCAGTGTCCCTGGCTGAAGCTTTATCTGTCAAACACCAGGATAGTCCCATCACTATTATGAAATCTCAGTGTATGAATTTCTATGTTTAAACTCTTATGAGCAAAGGGATTTCAAGAGGAACACAGTTCTTTTCAAATATATATACTGTAAGCTTAATCCTCTTATTGCTAAACCAAATATTCCAAATTCAGGTTATTGAAGATGAATTTATACTGTAAAAATTACTAAAGTAACATGTACACAATTAAAGTTTACAAGCAAGCTTAACTTTATGTTTAAGAGACTGCAATAATCATACAATAATACACAATGTATTTTAACTGATTCATCTCAGTGGGTGTTAAAAACATACTCACATTCTGTCTCTGCTTTGCCTCTCTGGGGCATGCCTGTGATGCAGTAAGGCTTGTGGATTTCATAGGGACAGATAAAAGTTGTTGTTTTGCTTAGCAATTGGATATTTTCGTGGTAGAAAATCACATTTACATCCTAAGGGAGGCCTTTTTACATTGGTAAAGGTGTAAAAAAAGGCCCAGGACTAAAATGAGTCAAGGCCATATATTTGTAATTTAAGGAATGAAGGAATAAAATCCTTCAACAACAACAACAACAACAACAACACTACCAAAATCCCTAGTAACAAATGGAAAAGCAAATATATCTTCAAGAAATCCCAGAGACTTATTCTGAATTACATATCTCACTCTCCATAGCTGTTCATAAGTTGACAGTGTGGCTGCACAGGGTATATTTACTTCTAGTTAAATGTTTCTCTACATTTCTAGAGTGGTGCAAAAGGGCTGTATTTTATTAGTTTCTTCTCAGTTGTGCAGCCAGATTGTGTAATGTATAAGCCAAAACATACAAAGACTAAGAAACAAAGCCATCTGGATTGTTTATGAATGATTTGTTATGCCAAGGAGCTTTATATTTTTTTAATAATTCCTAACTTTAATGTTTTTTTCATTTATTTATACAGACTGCCAGCACTACAGATTCAGGGACATCTGTCTTTTCTGCAATGCATAAGGCACCTGTTTTTTCTCAGTAGTTTATACAGGTATGATTAAGTAGTTTGAGACTCCTGTCTTTCAATGAGACTTTTCAGTAGGCATGTGCTTCCTAATGGCACTTCAATGTATTTTGATGGGAACATAGCTATAGGATCCACATTGTGTTCAGAGAGGAGGGGAAACCATCCTGTAAATTGTCGGGCACCAGGGATTTGGACCTGAGAGGTGCTGGACAGATCATGTACATATTACCCCACAGTGCCCACCAAACACAGGTGGTGCAGATAAATTTGCCTCAGGGTACTTGCCTGATTGTGTCTGCCTGGTGAGAATCTGTACCACGCTGGTAGTGAGTGCAACCTGTCTGGCACTACATGTTCTTTGCTGAAAGTTTTTTTCTATGTTCACAGTGAGTTGTTCCAGGAATGTACCCAGCAGCACTTTTCTGGGGTTCCCTGTGAGTTCCTGTCTCACAGGATGCCCTGTGACACATCCATTAAAAGTAGAAGTCTGCTGCCAAAACTGATGAAAGATCATCAGGAACTGAGGCAGATGGGACCTCCAGTGTAACTCACAAATTCCAGTTTAATTATTTGAATTGATGTGTAGGACATCAGTCACCAACCTAAGTTGTGAATCAACCATTCTTTCTTGAAACTAGGAATTAAAAAATTGTTTTGTTTGGACTTCATTTTGAAAATCCCAGTTGTCTCTAAAACATGCTGGGTCTAATCACTGGTTTAGAGCAACTTAAGATCTCACTTTTCAGGTGTGGATCTCTGCTGCCTCATAGCTTCTATACTCAGTTAAAAATTATGTCTAAGTGGGTGTCAAATGCTGGGACCAGAAGACAGGCAATTGCATCTTGGTGGTATTCTACATTTGTGAGTCCCTCTTTTGCCTGGCCAGAGCATGTGTGGAAGAAGTGATTCTGCCCATAAAGCTTCTCATGGAACAGAGCAAATAAGAATCAAGCTTGCTCTTTCAGTATACAATATAGTACAAAGAAACATAATAATCCAGTTTATTTTGGATGATTGATTAATGGGGACATTGCTCATATACGCAGTGTATGACATTTCCTATTACTTGTTCATATCATTTGAGAGTTAAAGGATATAAATACTTAGGAATTTCCCAGCAGTTGGGTTGCCACCTGTCTGCTGAACACATTAAAGGGGGAAAAGGGCGAGTTGTATTCCATTTATGAATGCTGTAATCTCAGCAACTCTGAATAACATTTCTGACACTGTCAAGGGAAAAATTTCCACAGCAGTCTCAATACAGATTCAGCAATAGGGTCTTCTCTCCCTGACACAGCTAGACATTTAAAGGATGTTAAGAAAGGCAGAGGTAGTGGAAGGGAGTGATGGCACTGAAGGAAGTTTACAGTGTTCTCAAGCTGATGCTTCTTTCCATAAGACAAGTCACAAGAGAGCTAAGGCCTCTATATATGCAATCAAAGTGAACATTTAGCAAACAGCTGTCAATCTCTGTATAAATTCATCACTTCCTTGGTTAATGTTTATACCTGGCATTGTAACAGTTAGTTAATAAATAGCTCATTTGTGTGAAGAACTGGAGATGGTAAAAACCAATAAATATCTGTAACAAACACCCATGCAAATCCCCCACCTGCATTTCTTTTTGTGAAACACCTGTCAAACTGATTGCAAAGCTATTCTGTGGCATTACATCATTCAGTTCTATGAAATGACTACCAGTGGGTCTGCTCACAGCATCTATAATTAGCTCCTTACCTCTAAGTTTCAGTGATTTGAGCAACACACTGATGTAAACGTTTTAAATCAGCTCCTGGAAATGCCTTTGAAACCAAGCAGCACCTAACATGGGCATCAGCAGTACATATGTATGTCAGGCTTTCTCCTGCAGCTTGACCTGGGCCTTACAATTGTGGAAAATACTTGGAGAAAACTCCTGAATGTTCCATCTGTAAACACATAGCTGTGGATCTCAAGGGATCCTGGAGAGGATGAAAGCTCTGCTTGTTCTGGGTTTACTGCTCCTGAATTACCTCAAAACATCAATTAGCACTTTTGTAGAGATATGCCCCAGTAGATAAAAGCCAGGAATGGTCTGTCATGGGGAGGGGGAGCCATTCAGGAATTGGTAAAGCTTTAAAGTCCACTACTCCTGGGTCTGACAGCAGAACTGCTGGAAACAGTGCAGGAAAGGGGCACAGACAGAACCACCCTGACCAGGAGTGGTTTGTAACACCAGACCATACATCATACATAATATTTTGTATAGTTTCTAAAACTCTAGTCTTAGTTTCCAGTTCTGGAGGAACAATATAGTCCCCAGTCACAAATTCTAACAGGAAATCATGAAGTAGAAGTTCAAAACAGACCACTTGCTTAAAAACCAGATACCTTGATTTCAGTGCTTCTGTTTCACAGAGTCTGTTTCCTTCTTCCCTTGGATCAGTCTTGTCTGACATTTGTTCAGCAGTCTGGTAAAATTCCAAAGAAAGAATAAGAATTCAGTGTGTGGGTTTTTATTATGGTCCTTTTAGGCATAGGGGAAATAAATACACACCCACCTCACCCCTGCCGCAATCTTGTACTGAAATGCTTTTTGCCAACTAGTCAATATTTTCTAATTTTGATTTTATAATTACAGCTAATCCTCCAAATTTTCAAACAGTTGCCACAAATCAATTATGTTTTCAAGTCAGAGATAGTTTGGAGCTTACAATTGTTTTGGGTACAATATGTGCGTGTGAATGAGAAAAGTAGATATTTATGTGCATTTGTAGTCAATCTTCTTGGTTGTTAGATTTTTGATATGATGGTTTGAGAACTATCAGCAGTCTGACTTGCAAATTTAAATGGCATTCCTTCCAGTGATGCCATGATCAAAGTGAGCAGAGCTAGAGGCATATGCCTGACTGAGAAGTTTAACAGAACTTCTAAATCTCTCATTTTCGTTGTTACCTAAATTACTCCAAATACCTGAGAAGCCATTCCAATTTACTTTGAGTTGCCAAGAGAGAAGCACAGGGGTATTTACACTCATTGTTTAGGTGTCAGTAGTGCTTTTCAAGGAATCTGACAAAGCATCAGGTTGTGTAAAACTAGAAAAAAAATTCAAGAGTATCTGCCCTTTTTTAATGGGTTGTACTTGGCCCACCTGATAGGCAAATTTTTGTAAACTCAGTGAAGTAAAACACAAAATTTTATCAGCCTGTTTTTCAAAATACATGCTTAAAAGTAACATTCTCTAAAACCAACCTACCCATGTGAGTCAAACTGTGGTAGCCCCAGTCACATTAAAAAAAGTGTTACCTATTAATTGTTCTTCCCCTTTCATCTACCTGGAGCCTTCTCTTCTCCAGGCTGAACAACCCCAGCTCTCTCCAAAGCAAGGGAAAAGCTGGTGGATTTTTTTTCAGGAGATATTGGTGGAATGGGAACACTGGGACATGTCAGGAACATTTTGGGAGCCATGAAGAAGGGAGCTGACAACAGGTTAAGGAGTAATAGTGCTTTTTTCAGTGTATTTCTGAAACAACCCACTTTCATTTCCCCTGCATGGATATAGATGGGTGAGGCAGGCAGCCTGTCACCTCCCAGGTGCCTGTTATGTATTTTCCCTGTTGCAGTGAAATTCCCTGTGAATTAGTGTGTGTTATCCAGGAGTGTATCCTTCATTTACATTTATTGCAAATTAATGCAAGACTTTTTGTGTGCAAATTTGATCCTGTAACTCCTGTTCACATGAGCAGTCTCATTAAATACAAACCTCATTAAACACAAATAGAAGGCTAATGGGCAGCTACAGCAACACACGAAATCCAATACACTTAAACACAGTTGAAAACCAGAAGTTTCAGTTTTTTCAGGTATGATGCTGACTTAAGATGGAGTGAGCAGTGCAGACCAGGGCAAAGTGCTGTATGTGATGCCCCAGCCTTTCACATAAGGGACAATGGCATTTCTGACAGTGGTCAAGGCCATCACGGAAGTCCTCTGACTCAGTTACAGTGCAGAGATCCAGCCTGCCATACAAGTCCTTCAGTTTTTGCTCAGGCTGTGCAGAAACCTTGTTTATGCCCTTGGACAAGACAACAGTATCAGACTTAGATTAGTAAATGTTTTGAATGTGAGCACAGCCCATGCCACAGAATCTGGGGCTGGACAAAAGTGTTTAAAATGATTTTCTGTGGAAAGCAACCAGAAATGCTCTTACCAGAAAAGCCAGCTACTGGCAGCAGTTTTGACTGGCTCTAGTAGGTATGCATATGCAGACATATTTGCTTGCGTAGGCCAAAGGGGAGTAGCATGTTGCAAAATATTTTAAGAACCAAAAAAAGAGAGATACTGAGCTAAAGTGGATTTTTAAACCTCTTGAGAATGAACAATATGCCTTTTTAGTAAACCAGTTGTGCATAGAGATCAATGTACACAATTAAAAGACTAATCCTGCTGTAAGTTCACCTCAAGTATTTAATGAATTTCACATGATCCACCCACTTTTCTTCTGTACCTCTGCAATTACCATATCAGCAGCAATAATTCTCTGTTGTTCAAGTGCCAGATACAACATGGCTCTCACATTCCTGAACATGGCATATTGTGCTGTTCTGTTTGTTTGTTGTTTCAGAACAAGGTAAAGTTTTACTCATTTGCACACCTCACTGAACTTCAGCCCATTCTTTGTCATCTTCTTAATCAGTGATTTGTTTGTCTTGATCCTTGGCTCTCAGTTTCTCATTTTTAGTTTAAATTTTGTATGAAATCCATGTTAATCAAATGGCTTTTTGAACCATTTCTAGTTTTCCCCTCTGATCATATTTGGAACTACTAATCATATGTGTGAAGCGTAGGATCATCTAACTTTTTTTTCTCCCTTCCACAAGCTAAAAAATATAAAGTAGCTCCTTTCCAACTGCAGCATAAACGTTTTCATGCAATATTTTAATTTACAGATACTCTTCAGCAATATAAAAGCATAATGAGCACTGTCTCAAGATTTTGCTTATGTGGAAAAGTTAGTCTGGCTAGATAAAGCAGTAACTTTTCTGCCTGTGTGTATGCACAGGACAAGAGCTGATTATTCCAAATTATCTTATTTCGAGTCCATTTTACTTGAGAAGTACATTTGCAAGAGCTAAACAGGAAGAACTCCCCTTGGAGATGCGACTTTACGCATTTGCAACTACAGAAGGCGCTCATCTTGCCACAAAGTAGAATTTAGAAAATATGACAGTAACCCTCTTATCAACATTTAATTATACAGTGTTTAGGAAGTAGTTGCAGATCAGGCTTCCAATGTGCTGTGCTTTGTTCAAACACTGATTAGGTTTTAAAAACCATGTTTCAAAGAACATTTGTTTTAAACAGAATTTTCTTTTAATCATACCAATGAGGTGATCAGTCACTGTACTTGTGAGCATGTGCTGTTCATGTCTTTACCAGTTCTTCCAGGTCTTTAGCATATATAGCTAATTTCTCTAATGTAAGAAAAAACCAACAAACCAACAACAAACCGGTATACTTTTATATGAACAACAATAAGATATAGAATATTAGGTACAGAAACTTTTTTTGGGTCACTCCTCGGTGACAAATGCTTTAACTGGTGGGTTTAAGTGACAAGTTAAAGGTGTTCTCTGTCTCAGTGTGAACAGAGTCTACAAACTGAAAGACAGAATTTCTTCTATTTCCAGAAACATTTCTTGGGTATCATATTAAAGGATGCAGAAAAATGCAATTTCTCTATCAGTTCCACAAAAAAACCCCCAAACCCCAAGGCATTGAAAGGCTGTTCTTGAACCGTCTTTGCCCCATGGCAAATGAGTTAGCATCTCTATTAAAGCAATTAACATCTCAGTACATTTGGAAAACAAACAAAAGAATATCTTAGCTTTATCTTTGCCTGCGCATCCATAAATGAACTCATCTCAAAGGCTCTGAATCTCTAAAGACTCCACAAATATACAGTGGAGCAATTTCAGCAAAATGCTTGATACCAAAAGATTGCAAGATTTATTTTTATTTCAGGCAGGATTTCAGAGGAACAGATTTTGAATTGCCTGAATTAACACATTTACAGATCTAGGGAGAATAAACGCCCTGTTGGGATGTGTTGAAATACGAGCACATGCTGCAAAATCACCCTGTGAGTTATATCTCTTTTTTTAGTCACACTGACATAAGCAATGATTTTTAAGCTATTGCCTGATTGCTGAACTCACTTTATTTATCTTCCTCAAAGTCTCTCTGGATCTCAGAAGCACAACCCTTCTTTTAACAAATATTACTAATTTCATCAGAGACCTGTCAATAGTTATTGCAGAAAACAATTTGTGACACTGAATGTAACAAAAGGTAGGATTTCCTTGGTGTACATCACTATGGTTTAAATGCTTAAACAGTTAAAATCAGTTTAAAATGTCTTAATCTTGTCCTCTCTCCGTATGTGCACATATATATATATATATATATATATATATATATATATATAAATAATACCAGTTCCATTCACAATTGTTCTTTCTGACAGACTCCCACTCAACTCACATGTCTGAATTCACCCAGGAGGACAGCAGAGCCAGAGTGGAAAGCACACTGCAGTGCATAGTTTGAGTTGTTCCCTGCTAACATACAGAAGCTCTTAAGTGCTGAGACAGGGAACTTGTGCTTTATCCCTGTCAGAAGCCGGGAGCTCTTCTTCTTATGTGATATAAAGCAGGATGGGTAATGTGGAGCAATCGAGTGGGAAGAAAAGATGCAGCTATAACTTTAATTTGCTGGTTAAAAGGATTCTGGCCTTTCTGAATCAGCACCAGGGCTCTGTCTAATCTCCTTCCTCCACTCATGTTGCAACAGAGAGTTGCCTAAGTGAGCTATGTTGGCTCTTTGCCACTCAATATTTCCCTTCACCGGGGAAACCCCCAGCTGGATTTTAAAGCCAGTTTTATGGCCCGAGGATAGTGCCAAAGGCAGTAGGAGGCGCCTCACCACCTTCTGGAAGAATTTGAAGGTAATGATGGGGGTGGGATCACAGGAGACAAACTCATAGCAAGCTATTCCTTCCACTTCATTAGTGATGCCTCTTGTTTGATGCATTGATCATCCCTGCTTTTTTACTGCTATTATTTCAAGGGAGAGTTGACAGAACTGTTTCACTGGTTTTTGGACAAGCAAATAGGAAGTAGTGTGCAAACTGCCTTGTCTTTGACAACTGAGAAGCATATAACCTTATAGAGGAAAAAAAAAAAAAAAAAAGCTTCAGAAAGTGCTTTGTCTCTGCCATCTAGCAGGCATATTCCTCCAAGAGGAAGGTCTGTGATTCAGGGGGAAAATCCCATGACAAAGCCTTCAGCCCTAACAATTGCATGTAAAAGAGATTAAGTCATGGGAAACTCCTGCGAGTAGGGCTGCATGAATAAAAAGAAACATGCAGCAACATGAAACACGCCAAGCTTCAGGTTTCACCACCAGCTTGAAACGTGGGCCACGCGAGAATTGTGTACCGGGGTACCTGTGAGTTTCCAGCAAGCACAGGCCTCATTTGGAGGCACAGACACGGGACGAAGGCCTGGCTTTACCTCAGGCATTCCACATGAGACCTGTGCCATGTGTCCACAGGGAAACTGGGTATTCTCCAAGGGACTGCTTCTCCAGGCTTGGGGGAGCTCAGTGGTGTCCAGGTGGCCTGGAAAAGAAAACTTAATTTTGTTGGTTTATTGGTTTGGTTTTTTTTTTCTTTTTTTTTTTTTTTTTTTCCATCTAGCTCGAGACAGCCCGTGCCAGGGTCGGAGGCGGCAGCCCTGGCCCCACCAGCCCCGGTCATCTTTCCAGAGCCATTTCGGTTGCAGCAGAGCAGCCGTGGAATGGTGCGAGCGTTAGAGAAAACACAAATAAATAAACAAACAAACGCAAAAAACACCAACAAAACAACAAATTCACTATTTGCGGGGAGGCGGGGAGCGCCCGGATCCTCTTGGGAAATGTAGTTCACCCGGTCGGTGAGACGAGGACCAATCGTCGCTCTGCTCCTCTGCTGGGTCTGCTGGGAGTTGTAGTTTTTTTGGTCCCCGTCAGGGCGGCGGCCAGTAGCGACGGGGCCGAACAAGACTATACTTCCCAGCGTGCAACGCTCCGCCGGCGCTACCGCTCCCCTCATCTGTAAACAAACATGGCAGTGGGCGATGGCGGCGGTCTCGGGCGGCCCTGAGGCTCTGTGAGCGCCGGTGTCTGCCGGGGCTGCGGGCGGGCGGCTCCGCCCGCTCCTCGTGCAGAGGCTGCGGCGAGAGGGATCGGGACTGGCGGCACACATGGATGACAGCAAGGTAAGGGCCTGCGGGGCTCGCCCGGGAGCTGGAACCGAGAGCAACCAGTGAGGCTCTTGGTGCAGGGAGCTTTTTGATATCTGCTCTTGAGGAGCTCTGCTTGCCGCAGCTGATAGGAAGGAAGAGTTGTCCTCTTAGTTGTTGCTTGCAGCGCTTCGGTGCTGCTTCTGGCGTTTCCTTAAACCTCCAGGCATGGGCCAAAGCTGGATACCACCAGTGGTGTGGTCAGTGGCTCATGCTCCCAGCAGCGCCCTGGATTGATTAGATAAATGGCAGCTGTGCCCAAATGGGGAGGTGCGAGGGCAGCAGCGGGTGGCAGCCTTGTACTGCGTGCTGGAACTTGGATTCTTCCAGCATTGGAAGAACTGTGTGAGAGCAGCACAGCGGCATCCCTGAAGGTGCGGGGCTTCCAGCTGAGCAGAGCCGAACGTGACAAGGTGCCCAAGGAATGGATCTTCCCCCTGCCTGCAGGGACAGCGGCCATGTCTGCTCCCTGCAGCGCTGTGCAGCTCAGGCTCAGCTGAGGCTGGGTGTTTCAGCTCCCTGGAGTGCTGGTTATGGGTTATCCCGGGGGTGGTGCTGGAGACACCACTGGAATTTTACTGGGACAAAATTACAAAGCCTATGAAGATCTGCTTGAATTCAAAGTGGGGGGAAATGCTTGACACGATTTCTTATGGAATAAAGAAGTTTAGAAGCGATCAGTAATTTGGCAGTCCACAATCCACTGAATGGGTTGTAAGGCTGTGGAAGGTTTATGGTGGTCTGCTATTTTAACATTTATACTGTTTTATTTTATTAAGACCTTGCCTGAAAGCTGTCAAGGAGGTTGGGGGAAATCTGCATCACTGATCTCTCACAACTCTGGGAGCTGCATGAAAGTTTTGTAATTGGGGCAGTAATTTAGAAGATCCAGAAGATTTAGTTCTGGAGGCGTATCTAGTTCATGAGCATTATCTGATTTTTATTTATTTTTGTGTTCTTCTCTGTCTGACTTGGGCTCTTTGTATTACCCAACTTCCAGATTTTAATTTAAAAATAATTTTTGGTCTACCATTGTGTCATGTGGAGTTGTGATAGTATGCTTTTTTTTTTCCCCCTCTGAAACATTTTTTGACACACTTACAAAATAAAATAAATCTATTTACCCAGTCAGTAAGTCAAATATTTGGTCTTTTTTTTTCTTTTTAAAATTGATGTTGAGTTGAATAGGGAAAGACAACAGAGTGGAATATTCACTCTTCTTGCTATCTTCACGCCCAAGTACAGTTTTTATAGCTCATGAGGCTGTAGGTCACCTTGAGGTTTTGGTGACTCTGTTCAAGAGATGCCGTTTCCCTTAGGAGGGCTCTTCCCATTGCAGGTTGCTGTGTCAGGATGAGGCAAGCACTATTTATACCTCATTTTGTGGCCACTGTGGTTACACTGGAGTCAGCATGTCCTTGAAATCTCCTAAAAATTCCACTGAGTCATGCTTTCCTCCTTGCTGAGGGTGTTGGCCTGTGAAAGGACTTCCCCTGCAAAAACTCAATCAACTAAATTGTGTTGGTAGTGTAGTGACCATTCTATAACTGCCTGCAGCCAAGTTCAGTGTTTGCCTTCATCTAAATGACACAAAGAATTTAGAACTGGGCTTGCAGGCTGCAAAGTTTTCCCTAATTCATAGTGCAATTTAATTCAGCCTTGTCTGGTTTAGGAGGGCATTAGAAGAATGGCTCTTGTCAACACATTCCTCAAAATTGGAAGGAAATAGCAAGAAATAAAGGGAGAGGTAGAATATCTTAACATCAGATGTAGAAAAATTTCATGTTTCATTTCAGAAGAGTGTTCTTAAAATATTGACACAAACAAAATCCCAAAAAACAAACAAACAAAAAGCCCCAAACCCCCCAGACAAACAAAAACCCAAACAAACAAAAAACCCCAAAGAGCCCCAACCCCAAAATATGACCTCCTTTTCTTTTGTAGAACTGCTTTTAACCTGGGGTTGTTCAGGTACTGGCCTCACTTCTCGCTGTGATTTGAGCTATTGGGTGTGGAAGGGAAAGAATTTAGTGATGTAGCTGTTACTTGCAGTTAATCCATGTTAAAGCATCAGTTGTGCATCTCTGAAGTCTTTGGACAGAGGAAAAAGGAGAAGCTCTGTTATGGTGGCTTCAGCCTTTATAGGTGAAATTTCTTGGTTAGTTTACAAGACTACATATAACATATTATATATTTATTATATGCATTGGGAAGCAGAGAATAGGGACTAGGGTAAGAACTTGATAACTCTTGTTAGCCAACATTAAAATACAATTTTATACAGCTAACTGCAATCTTTTGTATTAATGACAGAGTTTTTTATAGGGGACACTGACAAAACTTATTTTGGTAATTAACTCTTCAGTTTATGGCTAGAAATAAGAAATAAAAGTTTGTAACATCACTTTTGTTACTCCAGTGAAGTTAAAAACAAGCAAACAAAAACCATACCACCACCAAAAAAGGTCGGGGTTGCTGTCTTTTATTACAAATATTCTTGTCTTGCACAGAAAATATATTAATTACTATATTTGTGGATCCAGCAACTGTTCATTTCTTGCTCTGGTGTTCATGCAGCTTTCCTTTCCTAGGGAGCACATGGTGTTGCTGCAGTGGAAGGCTCTCAGGAAAGGGCTACACCCAAGGAGCTGGGTTGCTTTCCACCCAGCCTGGCTGTGATACATCAATACTCAGTCCTGTGTGGTCCTGAGTCATAATTATGGGGATGCAGGTGTCCCTTGGAGGGAGTGTGGGAGCAAAGCAGGTGTGAAATCTTGTGTTTCAAATACAGAGCTTGAGGGGTCTTTGGCCATGAGCTGTCTTGTAGCCTCTGACCCTGACGGCTGGGGCAGATAGGGATCAGGGACAGCGAGATCTCCCAGGCAGTCCTGGAGTCAGCTCTGGGTAATGCTCTGAATGCCACAGCAGGGACAGAGCTACTGTGGAGATGACCTCAGTTGCTAAGGAGGTGGGCTGCTATGTTTTCATCCTTCAGGGCGTTTTCAGAGTATGCAGGTTCTCAGTGTGCTGGAGAAGACGTCCACCAGGATCATGTCTGTGAGAAACGATGCCTCATGTTTTAGAATTTAAAAAGATTTATTGAATCACAGCAAGGGACTGAATGAGGAAAAAGGAACAGTGCTGGGTGCTTAGCTGCAGCCAGAGGCACACCACCCACACCCCTAACAACCCCACATATACTGTTGGTGAGCCTGCCCTCCCCACACTTGTACATGTGTCCCACCTCTGACCCAGCTCCTCCTTCCTCCCACCTCTTGGAGTTTGCAGTTCTTGATGCTTCAGCCTTCCCCATGGTTGGAGATCAACTTTCAATATTATGAAACTTATATATATATATATATATATATGTGTGTGTGTGTATATAAAACCAGGTCTTAGCAAAACTTCTTTCATCCTTCTAACGTACATTCAACATTCATGAGAACTAGCATCCCACTATCCATTTATTACAATGTCCAAACAAAGCATTCTCATTACTGCTTGCTTGGAAATATAAAACTTTAACTGCTTTGGTTATAGTTTGATAGGAGCAATTTCAAGTCATTAAATTTAAAAGGCTCCTGCTCAGCATTGCTCAGATGACACATCTGCAAGGAGTGATTAAAATGGAGGAGATTGAAGCCTCTAAGCCAGCTAGAACAGTTTCATTTCATTGTTACAGTGGTGTGGAAGGATACACATGGTAGAGTTAGCTGACCATCCCTGAGCCCGAATTCTTACACAGACAGGTTTAGAAAAGTGCCTGGTTTCTATTAATGAGAACTGAGAGAATGTGTAGGGCACAGTGGTGGACATAACTCCTGTGTGAGGCTGTAAGTCCTTCCCTGGGATAGAGCAGGGCTGTCACCTGTGGAGTGGCAAGGTGGCATCTGAGTGACTGCTGCCCTGAGCTTTAGCACTTACCCATCTGGGTGCCTGCATAACACTTTATGAAAACTTGACATTTATCCCTAGCTCATGCTTTTTTAAAGCAGACATTGCAGCAAAGACAGTATTCTTTATGCCTCTGTGCTGAACATGGCATTCTTAAGACATGAAGCACTTTGTATGGTGAGAGTTTTAGGATTAATTTCTGTTGACACATCTGCTTAAGACTTAGATTGTGTTTGCTCACTAAATAGTATCTTACATTTTTGGATCATTATCGGATGCATTTTGTCTGCCAGTGAAAGTAAAAGAATTGTGTTGGGCATATAAAATGTCATGAAATGGAGGAATAACAAGCATGCTCTCTAGCCGGGTTTTGTACTGCTGCTGTGAGTGGTATGCTTTGAATTGGCAGATCAGAAAACTTCCTCTTATTAGGAGACTTGTGACTGGCTTAATTTGCTTTCTGATTTTGTGAAAATGTTCGCAAGTAGGAATAGATTCTTCCCCCCTCTACTGTAACACAGCCCATAGGTTTTATTTTTTACTAATAATCTTTATAGTTTTATATAGATTCTGTAGATGATCACCAGTTCCATGCTGCATTAAGTTCTGCAGACCTATACCTTCAGCTGCGAATACAATGCAGAGTGTGCCTAAGATGGATCTCAAGTACTGGTTGATGGAGCTGCTTGTTTCTTGGTAAATGAACTCGGAGCTGGTGGCAGATGCTGACTGGTCATTGTGATCAGCATTGCTGGTCAGTGGTGCTGAGCAGTGCCTGGGGTACTGTTGCTTTAATCTGCTGAATTGATTCAAACTTGCAGATGTCATGATGAGGCCAGCTCCACCCCAGTCTTCTATCTGAGGGGCTCAGCTCAGGGTTGTGAGTGAGGAGCTGATGCAGTGTAGCTGTATTAGGTGTGCATCTCCTTCCTGTGAAGGACCTCTCTGCTGTGCATTCTGGCAAGGATTTTGGAGAGATCTGCTGCATGCTTCTAATAAAAAAAACCCTATAAGTCTGAGGAATTTTCTGTATCAGGTCAAGTAATTGCAGCTATTTCCAATTCCAGGTCAAGTAACTTTGTGCCTGGACACTGATGGGAGGCAAGAATGAGGTTATGATCTAGGCAGGGTATTAAAAGGAAATTGTGGAATCACAGAAGAGGCTGAGTTGGAAGGGACCAATAGGGTTCATCATGTCCAACTCCGGCCCTGTGCAGGACACCCCAAGAGTCACATCATGTGCCTGAGAAAAGAGTTATGTTCTTCTATATTGTGAAGTCTGAGTGAACTGAAATGGAAGCTTGGTCAGATCTCCAACTAATGCATGACTTAATTAATATTTCTATGAACATTTTTTGTGATTAATGTTGTTCTGAGTTTTGATTGCATATGACTCCCTGAAAAAGCCCCAAATCTCAACTGCTGAATGCTAATAGATCACATCTCTTTATAAACGGCAGAGGAATACAAAGGGACAAAAAATGTTTGCTTGGTCTGTTGCCATGTTCAACATCAACTATCACTTCTGCTTTGTGTTCTTTCTGTCACATCAATGTAGCAACTGAGCAGGCAAACAGGACTAGAAGCCAGGGAAATATGGTAATGCTGTATGGGGGCAAAGGATTTCTCAGGCCTTTTATTCCCCAGCTGGGTTGCTTAAGGTTACAGCAGGAGCTTCTAAATATTGGTGAGGAAAAACTGATGAGGATGCAGGATTTGATTAAATTGCTTAGCATTGCTACCTTTTCAGGGTGATGTGTAATTGTGTGGTGAACTCTAGGAGCCATGGAGACAGTATGAGTCTTTGGGGGTGGTGTGAAAGCAGATTGTTAGAGTCAAAAGGGAAGGAAGCTTTTCATTATCTCCACAGTCCTGGTGGTTAGAGCGTTGGCAGGTAACCATGGTTGAATGGTTGAAGAGGTACGAGCCTTTTTCCTGCCCTAAGGGAGCTTGTGTGCAGGGCTGCTGCAGTGGTAAAATATCTTGTAGGGAGAGCAGTTGGCACACCTATCTGTAGAAAGCTCTCTGGAGTGACCAAAGGGAAAGCAATTTATGGATAATGGTGGATCCAGGGATGCATTTGCCATGTGCTAAGCAGTCTGTTACTTGCTGATTGTGAGAAATGGTGTGGTGGGAACCATTCACTTGCCTGAGGCTCTGGGGAGAGGAGATGGCTGTCAATGCTCCTGTGCAGGGTTAGGACTCAAGGTACCTTTTGGTTCACACATCAGTGTGGTGTGTGCTGGGGCCCCAGCCTTGAGTGGCAGCTCACTCTGGTTCTAGAGGGTCAGAACCCCGAGTGGCCAGGGCTTTCTAAGAAAGCTGCAGTGTAAGTCTACAGGACCTTATCTAGCTCTTGAATTCAAAGATTTACTTTGAACTGCCTTGCATTAGCACAGAAAAAGACTCAGGTGCTGAAAGTCTTTGAAAACTGAAGTACTTTGGCTCTAGTGTGTATAATGTAATATCCATCAATCTTCCAAGTGCAAGTAATAGTAGAGAGCAAACTGTGAGTGCCTGCAGCCCCACCTGGGAAGATTCTGTGTAGTTCCACCTTCTGCTGAGCTGGGCATGTCATCCATAGCCAGGAGAGGGTTTCCTTGAGAGGACAGACCTTTTCATGCCTGACAGGGGACAGTCACTTTCCCTTCCTTAGAGCTCCTGCCCCCTGCCTTGGCCACATCTGCTTAGTTTTATCTTACTTTGAACTACAGCATTTTTTTGAACAAGAAAATCTTAAGGGGAGCACCTTGGTGAAGTAAAGAATTATTTAAACTGTATTCAGCAGTTCAAGTGTAAAAGAGCTTCATTTTTTTTCCTTTGCTCTTCTGAATGTATTGTGTTTGTTTCATTATCATAGATGTCCATTAAGTACTTTCTGTTCTTTCATTTGCTTATGGTAGGCAGCTACTCCTGAATAAATCAGGAGGGACAATACAGAGAGGGTAGGATTATGTTGGCATGTGATTGTTGACTCACTTTTCAAAGAAAGAATGGGCTCAATTGTATAATTCTTTTTTTCCCTCTTCATTCTGGCACATCAATTCACTATGTTATTGTTTTTATTGCAGCTTGCTAAGTTTGCAGAACAAGTGACTTCTTTGAATGTTAGAAATTTTGGAGCTTTTCACAGTAAAAGCGTTTTTTTTTTTTTTTTTAATGATGAACTCTGATATTTTAAACACTGCCTATTAGAAAAAGTCTGTCTGTGTGCAGGATGGTGAAATACTAAGGCAGCAGTGAAATTCTTGTATGCAGGTGTGTGTGTTAGGTGTATTTCTCCACACCCCCTCCAGTCAAACAGTGTGGTCAGAATGCAAATAAAGAGAAATCCTCACTTCAGACAGGAGCTGGGGTGTGTGGCTGATGTAATGTTTACTGGGTGATACCGCCCAATGACCAGTGAACTAATCTTCAGACCATATTTAGGATTTTCTTGTGCCATGCCCCCATGTTAAGAATAAAATATTTGAGTGGGAAAACACAGAGTAAACTGGGGTTTTTTTTGTTGTTGTTGTTGTTGTTGTTTTTTTTTTTTTAATTTTTATTTGTAGCAGGAGAAGCTCTCAGGCCTATAAAAAAGGAGCTACAAAGAAGAGAGGAAAGTGATTGCAAAACCTGTGTTCCATAGGGCAAGAAACTAGAGAGTTACATTTCTGCAAGGGGGATCTACATTAGGAGCAGGGAAGAGTTCAGCACTGACAGGTTGTGTGAGGAGGTGTGAGGAGACTCACCAGGCTGTGGAGTAATGTTTTGAAGGTGAATATGGCCAGAGTGGTGATGTACTGCTGGAGCAGAGGCAACAGGGATAGGACTCGGTGTGACTACGTTCCCTGTTTAGTAAAATTCCTTAAGATTCCTTTGAAAGAAATCTAGCCCGAGGAAGCTCAGGTCACTAGTGAATAATTCTGAATTTAGAGTAGGCTGAAACTGTTGACTGCAGGAAAACGAAGTTTTGCATTATATTGATAGAAACAAATATATTTTTTTCTAAATTGAATTGTTAATCTCTATAATATAGTATTTCCACACCTGCTAGAGCAGGGGCTGTTGGCGATATGAAAGCAATTTCACTATGAGCTGATTATGCCTCCTCAGTAACCAGATACCCTCACAGATACCTGAAGTAGTGTGTTCAGTTCTGGGCTCCCCAGTATAAGAGAGAAATAGAGCCACTGGAGAGAGTCCTGAAAACTTCAGAGCTCAGCATTCTTATTTCTTCTGTTGCTCCAGAAAGTATATGCATGATTTTATACTTGAGACTGCTAGTAGTTATTGTCACATGGTTCCAGCACAACCTTTGCAGAACAGGATCTTTACTGTGCCCTTCCTTTCCAGGTGGTTGGAGGCAAGGTAAAGAAACCAGGCAAACGAGGTCGTAAACCAGCCAAAATAGACTTGAAGGCAAAACTTGAAAGAAGTCGTCAGAGTGCGAGAGAGTGCAGAGCCAGGAAGAAGCTGAGGTACCAGTACCTGGAAGAGCTGGTTTCAAGCAGAGAGCGAGCCATCTGTGCTCTCAGAGAAGAGCTTGAAATGGTAAGGAACTATCATTTAACCTAACCCTCAGTATTATCTGGGACCTGTCCTCATGAACACTTGTTCTCGGGACCACGGTGACTGACAGTGGCATTTGGCTGGCCAGGAGGTATCAAAACATCAGATGCATCCAGCTGTTTGCCTGCTTTGGTGTGTAGAATACAAACTCATGTCACAAGTTATCTGCTGATTCTTAACTGGAAGCAAGCAAAGGAAGTGCCATTACATTTGAGTCTGTTGTCTTTGAAGTCTGGTTTTGAAAAACCTTTGACAGAGGTAGATTGTGGGAAGAAGTGTTAAAATATCAAAGGGCAAGCATATATCCACAGAGTGCCATTGCTTCTCTGTTGGGGAGGTGGATTCTTGCAGCATGCTCTCTGTGTAGGTGGTTCTAGGATGTGTAAGATGGGAGTATTGGCCAGATAAGCAGCATTAACCAAAGAGAATGTTTCATCTGGAAACGCAGACACAGTGGTGTCATTGAAAAGTCACTAGCGCTGAGGACGCTGCGTTTACCTGACTTCAGGTTTGTTTGAATGGGCAGGGCTAATCACTACAAGTCAGCAGGTTTAGGATCAGGTGAAAAGCCAGCCAACTGTCCACAGTTTTTTGATGTGCCTCAGGGTTTGGCAGTGAAGGATTTAAGATGAGGGAAGTAGAAATAAGGCACATGTGCTTTCACTGTGCCTTGCGCAATTGGAAAGGACCTCTTAGTAGCCCATCAGCCCCAAAGTCATGTGAAATATTTGTTTTAAATAGGCCATGAACTGGAACGGTATTCTCGCATGCCAGCAGCGAGAAATTGCACAGAGTGTTCCATGTTGTTTAATAATTACAGTATTCTGTCTAGTGCTGCCTCTGAGTAGCAGTTTATTGACTGAAAGGGGCTTTGCTGAGGCCAGGTATGCGGCCATGGCCACGTGCTCAGCTCATTAGGGCTCTGCAGTTTCGTAAGAGGCTTCAGCTCAGTACGTTCAGACCTTAAATGAATATACCGGAAGGTAAAGATTACAGCCCTGTTTTGTCTGCTAATGTGATCCTGGCAGTTTGCTAAGGCCTAATGTGTTTGCATATTTCAGTACAAGCAGTGGTGCATGGCCATGGACCAAGGGAAAATCCCCTCGGAAATAAAAGCCCTGCTAACTGGAGAGGAGCAAGGCAAAGCACAGCAGAACTCAACCAAACTTGCCAAGGCTGCAAAGACAGAGGCAAACAGCAGCAATCCCTGTAAGTATCCAGCCTGTGATTAATTCCTGTTTGTTACATCTTTTGTGGTGTAGGAGGATGGCTGTGGTGTAGGAAGAAACATAAGGATGTGCTTTTGGGCAGAAACAGTTGATTGAAGCAAAGAGCTTAGTGGGTGGTACAAAGACTCTGTATAATGTTTACGTGGACAACACAGAAATTCCACTATAGAGGAAGCTGGGCAATTATTTTAAAAGACTCTCTGTGTTTCACCAAAGCCTGTGGAGACCTGTGAAGACCTTAATTTCTTACAGCATTTTCTAGTTTTTTAATGCAAGCTGAATGGAGCACATTAAGCATAATTGAACTTTAAAAACTTTACAAAGAAAACATTATTCTAGCTGCAAGCACTCCAAGAGAGAAATGCTGGACATGGGATTTCCTATGGTGTCTTCTTTCTGACTCCTTTGTGCTTGTGCAGAGAATGGAATAGGTTTCTTCTGGGAATTGGAAAGTGAGAAGACCATGTGATATAAAGTCATATTCCTGATATATATATGCAAAGGGAGAGAATTAAGGTGTAGCACTGGGCAATTCTATATCTTACTTCTAATTTTGTAATAGTTTGTGCTACAGGCTAAATTACACTTCACTGAATTTTCTTTAAAAATAGGAGTTTCTAGCTTTATGTTTTTAAGGATCAACATGAAAACCACTTCTTCAGCCATAACAATCTTCCCCCCCATGCATCATTCTCAGGAGGCCGATGCAGAACCTTCCGCGCTGCAGCAGAGGTGGCTTGGGAGCTGGCGGGAGGAAGAATGCTGTTCTCAAGAGTGGATGCATCCCCAGGTGCAGAGGAAAGGATCCCAGTCTGTTCTCTTCTCTTTGCTCCTCCCCACATGAAATTCTTTGATTATGGTATTCCTAAGGCTTTGTGAGTGGGGCTTTTGGAGCAGCAGGTGTTGGTGTAAGTGGAGCCTTGTTCTTCCTTACACTGCCCTCCCCAAATACAGCAATGACAGCTTTGGGGCATTCCCAGCACAAGAGTGGGGCTTCTTTTATATCAGAGCCCAGAATTAGTCTGGCTTTGTGTTTGGTGGTTATGTGGTTGTTAACTGTTGTGGGAGTGTGGGAGGTTCTGTAAAAGAAAACCAAGAGAAGGATCTCGTAACAGCTTTGCTAAAGCCAAACCCAGTATTGAAGGTTGAGGAGCAGGAGCTGGATCAAAATGTTTCAGTAAGATTTATAGCAATGTCATTTGTAACCTAAATGCAGGTGTTGCTCTTGTCATCCATCTTTAATGCAGTGTGTCTTTTGTGTGACTGGGATTCTTAAAGAGGTGCTAGATAAATTTCCTGCTTGTCCTGGTTTAGGACAAATTTGGGAGGAAGCTTCCAAACAGGTCCCTCTAGAAAGCAGATTCAAGCGGCCCCTTCCCCAACTGGTTCAGGAAAATATTTCCTTGGAGAAAAGTGGAAAAATTCTGTTTATTTAACAAGCAAATTATTCACAAGCATAAAAAATGAATAATATTAAACAGTAAAACCTCTTGCTGTTCTGAAGAGATGACAAATTCAGAAGGTGCTTTTCATGGGGTGTGGCTCAGCTCTCTCAGTCTCTTCTCCTCCTGCAATGGAAAATGCTCCATCCTGGTGGGCTACAGGCATGAACTCCTGGTGTTTTTCTGGGTTTTCAGTCCAGAGCAGGACCAGTGAGTTCCAAGAAAAAGAAACACCACAGTCTGGGGAACTTCTCTGCCTCAGCTAGCTAAAAAAGCTGACTAAAGGCAAAGGAGAGCTCTGTCCTGCTGCCCATGCTGCAGACAACACAGTCTGTGAGAGACAATGCAGGGGAGCAAGTGCAGTTTCTGCAAACAAAATGCGCTTCTTCTCCTGCCCTTTGCTCTCAGAACCAGCCTTAAAGGTGCAGAAGTCAATATCCAGCATAAACAGAACAGACTACAAACATCATAAAGTCACCCTAGGGCATCACTTCTGCCCATCCTTCTTCTAGCAGGTGCATTTTCCACCTGCTGTGCTCCTGGGAGGATGGTCAAGGCTTGTCCCTGCAGCCTGCTTCTAGCAGGGGAACAGGTGCCATTCCCTCTCACCCACTGTGCCCTGATACCTTTCCATAGCCACCTTCCTTTTGGGCCCTAGTACCTCTCTGGACAGCAACTTAATGTGAATTCTGCTGTGCTGTCCTGGTTTCCCAGCCAAGGATAATGCCAGGAACTGGTAGCAAGGAAAACAAGTTGGATCAGTTTGGTTTTGTAGTAAGAAAGGTGATGGCAAAACTCTTGTGGGCTGATGACCAAGACATCTACTCACCCCAGTTACTGACAGATAACCTGCCACTTTCCTCAGGCTGCTCTTTCTCCTGGATATGCTTTTTGTATTCATGTGATGCAATGTGGAGAGTGGAGCTCCTGGGATTTTCAGAGGGTGTTTGGCTTGCTTATTCTGTTTTGTTTATGACAGTGTCTTTCTCTGTATTTTATGAAATGCATGGAACATTTTTTAATCTTGTATTTTTAGCATTGTTTCATAGAATAAATATTATAATGAATGACTTTGCTAGACCGAGTGTTGCCTTTTTTAATTGAACTAATTGGGTCTGTTTAGCATTGTGTCAATTCAGGATGGGGTGAAAGCAGTGAAGATAATCAAGTACCGTATTTCAGTGTACAGCACGATTGTTTTCAGAATTCCATTCTAAGCACCTATATATTGAACCTTAATGCATGGTTTTAGGTTTATTCTTTAGACCCTGCAACTAGACACTCAGTTAGCAAATGCTAAAAATGTTGCACAGACACATAAGACTATTAAGAGAGGTTAAGTCACACTGAAGTAGAGTTGGGGAGGATATGAGACTTCATGTTGTGTTGTCCATGTCCTATCCTGCCCATTTCCATCCCCACCATCCACCCTCTGTGTGTGAAGGTCTGCACTAGGGTTTGTCCTGAAAGATAGTGATAAAACCAACCCATAAGTTTGGGGATTTTTGTTGATGTTTAATCCTTACCTGTTCATTTTCCTGGATTTTCTGAAGGAAGAAAAATCCTAGGCCAAAAGTTCAGAACTATAGTCTGCCAACCTTGAGGTTGGACTTTATAACATGATCATACCGGAAGTGTAATGGATTATTTTGGGTTAGAATTAGTCTTACTCAGTCCACTTTCAGATGTAAACCATGTCTTGTAATCAGACACGTATTTCAAAGGTTATGCAGATGCTTAAGTGTCTTTCAGAATTAGGGATGTAGAAAACATGCAGAGCAGTCGTGATGTGTGACCAGAACAGCTCTGCCCAGCACTTGGTAACGTGACAAAGGCAGGTCTGATCTCACCAGAAACACCTTGCTTGCTTTCTTCCCTCTTTGTTTCACATGCTGTGATACCAAATAAGGAAGCCTTTCAGCAGAAAGGTTTCTTTTCTGGAGGAACTGGAGAGTGGGAATTTCTCATTGTGGTGAGCAGCAGTTTCTTCTGTTCCTTGTCATGGTGGCTCCTGCTTCTTGGCTTAGTCAGCTCTTGACATTACAAGGCTGTGTTTGGCATGCCTGGCCCCAGCTCTGTGGCACAAATAGTGGTACCCATCTTCTGACAGGTTTCTTGTGCTTCATGCAGATGGGCAGGAGGTCTGTTACTGCTTCCATCATCCTTGATTGTCTGCAAGCAAAATCTGTCACACATAGTTACAGGTCTAACTGCAGCTTTTCCATCTGCACTGGATGCTGTAGTCCATTACAAAATGTAGGATTCCCAGCAGCAGTCATTCATTAAAGTTGTGTCGCTTCCATCATGGAGGAGGTCGTGCTGTGTTATACAATTTTTGGCCTTAGCTGGATTTCTGGGAGTCCTTTATTTTGAAACTTGAAGTTTAGCAGTTCCCCTTGAAAACCAGCAAGTGTTTGTGGTTCATGCTTGTTTGCTGCTCTAATGCTCATACTCTTCATCCTTGTTGGAGTGGCTCCAAGGAGTGATACAGGCAAGTCCTCTGGTCAGGAGTCTCATCTAGTTCCCTAAATAGTGTAGGGTGGTATAGTCTTACCCTCTTTTTGTGTAGGCTGGGTACAGCCTTTGACATGTTTCTCCTCCATTGAGTGAGCACAGCTGGTTCTCTCTCACAAGCACTGAAGAAAGGAAATGAGTCTGGAAATGCCTCATTTTCCCACTTACCATGGAAATCTAATCTTCAGCCAGACTCATTTGGCAAGCTAAAGGTGGGTATCTCTTGGAAACTGTCCGCAGTCTTAAAATATGCTGTCTGTACTATTTGGTGTTTACACCAACCCCAGAACTCGTGTTAGGATTAAGTGTAGTAAGACTGAATTCAGTGGATGATGATGGACTAAGCACTGTACAGTTGCACTAATCCTTTTGGGGAGTGTAACACAAGGATGGACCATTTAGTGGCAGCTTCATAAGAAAAATGTGCAGTAGGTCTTGCCTTTTTGTTTGCTGTATACATGCTGCATGCACAGAATCCTGCAGTGAAGGGGATACATTTAATTGACTCATCACTTAATTGTGAACATTTTGTAATTATGTGTAAAAAAAAAAAAGAAAGTAATCACAGTCTGCTTTCACAATCTGATAATAAGTGTTTGTCAAAGAATCAGTATCCTATTAAGTGCTTTTCAAATGCTATCTTAACTTATATCAGGGGTTTATTTTAATGTAGTAGACAAATTTCAAAAAGCTTCTCTCTTTCTTGAAAGCTGAAATCTGGCCATCTTTGATAGTGCCTGTGACTGATTGTTTTTACTTTTCTTTCCCTTTTACATATTAGGGTGAAGATTAACCTACATCAGTAGTGAATTTAGTTTTTCCTGAAGAGCTGGAGAAGGTTTGGGATCATAGCTCCAGTCGCTGCTTTCCAAGAAATTGTAATCTCTATAACTACCTATAAAATTACTGTTAATATAAGAAGTAAATGTTTGAGACTAGTCTCAAAATGCAGAGAAAGCAGAGGAGAAGCTGAAATAAGAACCACAGTCCTTCTCGGGCTCAAGAGTTACAGCAGGGGTGACAGAGGATGGGCTGATGTAGAAATCCCTGTTGGAGGTAAGCAGGGAAAAATACCAGTTTGTCAGTTCCTGGTCTTTGTGTCACTGAGCATTAATTTCTCCAAAAGTTATGTCAATAAATTAATTTCTTACATGACTCCATTGTGAATTTGTATGGGAAAACATAAGCTTCTAATCCACAGTGAAACCTGAGGTGTCCCACACTGAACAGCACATCAGTGGGCTAAAATTCAACTGATGCTGATTTGTGGAATATACAGATTTTTGTATGTAGATCTATCATGGCCTTCCAGTGCCTGAGGGAACCTTCAACAAAGATGGGGAAGGACAACTGGCAAGGGCCTGGAGTGGCAGGACAAGGGATAGTGGCTTCAAACTGACAGAGAGGTTTTAGATTAGATATCAAGAAAAAATTCTTTACTGTAAGGGCTATAAGAGATTGCCCAGAGAAGCTGTGGATGCCCCATCCCTGGAGGTGTTCAAGATCAGGTTGGATGGAGCTCTGAACAATCTTTAAATTTCAACTAGAAAATGCTGTCATTGGTCAGCTAATGATTTTCAGCAGCACTTCATTAAAAAAATCAAACAAAAAAAACCTTAAACTGCTTTTCACTTTGGTTTTCTTTCCTCCATAAAAAGCACTTAGGAGGCAGGAGTTTTGTTCCATAACTAGTACAAGATTAACTCTGCTTTTTTATATGTCAGCCTGTATCTCACAACTGGTTTAATCAACTCTACTAGCACTAAGTGCTTCTTGAAGCAATTTTGTGTATGATCTCTGTATGTTTGTGTGGGTGTTGGTGACATTCCTAGCTGTGCTGCAGGTGATTAAAAAAATGTGTGAATAAAAGACTAAATGTGGATTATAAAATGTGTGTTTTCATGAGACAGGCTGTTCAGTGTGAATAGAAATAACCCATGAAGGGTGACTTACTCCCATACTTCTTTCTCATGGCAATTTTTAGAATAGA